CAAACCCAGGCATCATCTGCTACACCTCCTCGGAACATTGGGTTGTGGTTTGTCTCTCCGTTGTCGGTATCATTTGCTATCCTGTTGCAATCCTCGGCTGGGCGACCTACACCACAGTCATGTACCCCTCTCGCATCACCTCCGGTGCTGGCCTCCGGCTTGTGAATCGCTACCGCTTCCTCTTCCAGCGATTCAGGCCCGAGTGCTACTACTACGGCTTGGTCCTTCTCTTCCGCAACGCCTTCGTGGCTCTCTTCCCTGTGGCCTTCGTGTCGATGCCCGAAGTTCAGGTCGTGCTCATGGGCGCTCTCTTCGTCTTCGGTGGATCTCTTCAGGTGAGGAGTTGGCCTTGGCGTACTCCGATGGCCAACTATGCCGACTTGGTGATGACGGCCTTCCTCCAGGTGGTCTTGCTCGGGGCTGCTCCTCTGCTGGAGATCGACAAGGTGGGAGCTAGGATTAGGGGGACCCTTGGGGAAATAGACCCTCTCAGTAAGGACCCTAAACCCTAAACCCTAAACCCTAGACCCTAAACCCTACTTAAAGGGGTACCCCTAATAATACTACCTACAAGGAGCAGTCAACGGAGATGCTGGGCTGGCTGCTTCTCGTGGCCGTGCTCTGTCCGCTCATCGCTGGCCTGGCAGCCGTGGGTTTCGCAATTTTCCGCCACTTTACCCCGCAAGCCATGTTCGGCATCTTCCTCTGCCACCACAAAGGAGGCGCTGGCAGTCTTTGTCGCCTCATCAAGCTTCTTGTGGCCAGGCACAGCTCAGCCAATGTTTTCCTGGATTCCGATCAGCTGGAGGACTTGGAGTTGATCTTCGACACGATCCGAAAAACGACCAAGAGCGTGGTCACCGTCCAGACGCCCGAGCTGCTGAAGCGCATGTGGTGCGCGGGGGAGATTGTGACTGCCTTCAAGAACAAGGTCACCACTGTCCCCCTCATCTGCGATGGCTTCATCACGCTCACCAACGAAGCTCTCGAGATGATCCCAGATTGCTGGACGGCCCAGCAGAAGCAGATCCTGGCCAACTACGGCATCACCATGGAAGATGTGAAGGCCGCTTACGTCTGGCTCCGCGACGAGAAGACCCCGCTCCACCTCAGCCGTTTTGGCTCACCAGAGAAGCGTGAGGAAGTGGTCATCGAGATGTGCAAGCAGTGCAAGATCTCCATGAAAGTCTTCGCCTCCCACCACGCTCCAACGGGCCCTTCAAAGGCAAAAGCAAGGATCCTCATCACCGGCTCCATCACAGACGCCGAGGCTCTCGCAACATGCGAAGTCTTCCAGATCATGGTGCAGGAACACTTGCGGACGGAATGTGCCCTGGTGCGGTCCCAGAAGGAGATGGTGGCCTACAAGCCTTGGGCCTACTACTTTGTTGTTCTCTTCTCGAGGGGAATGCTCCGGGACCCTCGCTTTGCGCAGATCTTGCTGAAGACCGGCGCAGGCGAAGCAGGCGAAGAGCAGGAGTCCTCCGGAAGGCAGCTTGAGATCGTGACGGTCTCTGCCGACACCGGCTTCGAGTTCCCGAGTGCCGAGTTCTACCAGGAGCTGGAAGTCCACGGCCTCGGTCAGGAGGGGCTGGGTCCCGAGATCGGCCTCCGGCTCTCCAGGGCCTACCGCTCTTTGCTGAACGTGCTGGCCCTGCCGCTGTCTCCCATGGGCTCTGAGGGCCTTCTGATGAAGCAGACCTCGGAGATCTCCCGACGATTCCGCCGCTACAAGGACCCGGCCCAGGCGCAGGCACTCGATTCGGCGGACGATGCCGAGTTGACTGGGCAGGGAGTGGATGCATCAGTGCTGGCAGAGCTCAATGCAGAGGTGGAACAGACTCTCCAAACGGTCAATGCCCCGAAGGATACGGCGAAGCATGTCCTTGGGCCTCCCCAGGAGCAGGTCGTCAGCACGGAGTTGTGAGTTGAACACAGTTTTTGAACTTGCAAATTTTCTCGCTTTTAGAAGGGGAGGGGGCAGCGGGGTGCCCATAACCCATGCCCCGCATTCGTTAACTAAGAACCAGAGACAAGCATAATGTAGCATAGACATCAGGTATACAAGCATCTCAGTCTTTCCCCTTCGGTGTCCGGTTAGCGGATGCGGACCTAACAGCAAAGCTGTTCCTGGTCTGGTTTGCCTTTGCGCGGCTCAGTGCCACACCCACGTCGCATTGGACAAATGAATGCCGCAATCCTGAGCGTAGCGTGCCAGTACATGCCAGTACCTGCATCCCAATCTCCTAAACCCTAAACTACATTGCAATCCGCGGGCACCTGCAATCCTAGACCAAGCCTTAAAACAGATGTGCAATTTTCACAGTTAGGGTCCATCTTCAGGTTACCCAAATTGTACGGCACTTTCATAAAGCCCTAACCCCCCAAACCGATAGAGAACTACCCAGATGTCCCTGGCCGCAGGAGGTGCCCGGCCAAGACGAGAAGGATCTGCAGTGCTGTTCCCGCGCAAAACGACTCACAGATTTAGGGTTGCAGCCCAATTTAGGGTTTAGGGTTTAGGGTTTAGGGCTTAGGGTTTAGGGTTTAGGGTTTAGGGTTTAGGGTTTAGGGTTTACTTGGAGGCCCAGGGGACTTAGTAAGTAGGTTATAAGTGGGGTTATAATTAGGGTAACTGCATTTCGGGTACTTATATCTCTACTTATAACCTACTTACTAAGTCTCCAGGGCCGCAAAGTAGGGTTTAGGGTTACAGCCGAAGAGATATTTTTGAGAATGGAGACGTCTCGTGAGTGCTGGAATTTCCATCCCCTTTTTCTCACTATAGTATATGATGATGCTAGACTTGCTGACGGACTTGCCCATATGCGTGTATATACATATATGTGTGTGTATAAGCACATGCTCACCCCAATGTTAAACCTGTACTAGATACCAACATAACGACGAGGATCGTTAATTGATTCCTGATTCCAAACATCATCAAGCCTAACCGTGTCCTTGTCATTCGCTTTTGTATCAATGGAGACCGGAGTATTCGCCCTGACAGCAGCACGAGCACCATCCATAGTCGGCTTAGTACCACCCATATTCGTCCGCGATTTTCCTTGTTTATTTTACCACCTCAGTCAGCATCGTAGCGGCTGTGATAACCAGCTTTCCATCGACACCAAAACTGATCCGAACAATGTCCTGGTTATTACCCAGTATTTTGTACAGAATTACTGCTGAGCCGAATCGAATCCCAATAGCAACGATACTGGAACCTTATTGGCAACGTTAACTCGTAACATGCGGAAACAAATCAAATGCACACTCCTTGCTAAGAAAACCTTGGTTTTGGAGTGAAATATCAACTTTTCCTAGCAAAAGGATGGTTGTTGGCCGAAAAAATCAATTTGTTCCTAGGGGAAAGATGGTGTTGAACGGAAAAACCAATTTTTTCCTGGGGAAAGCAAAAAAACAATATTTTGGGAAACTATGCAGCCAGACTCCAACAAGATGGTTTTTGTAGTTTTCCCTAGGAAAAAATTGTTTTTCCTTCTTCATAGGAAAAATAGGTTTTTCAGCCCAAAACCAATTTTTTCTTAGGAAACAGTGGGTTTTTCCACCGAGAACCAATTGTTTCCAAGCGAAAACCAAAAAACCATCCTTTTGGAGTCGTTTCCCAAAAGATGGTTTTGTGTTGGTTATCCTTAGGAAAAAGTTGGGCTTTGGCTCAAAACCATCTTTTCCCTAGGAAGAAAATGGGTGTTTCAACCCAAAACCATCTTTTTCCCTGGGAGAAAATAGATTTTTCCACCGAAAGCTAATTCTTTTGAAGGGAAAACCAAGAAAACAGTCTTTTTGGAGTCTGGCCGTATAGTTTCCCAAAAGATGGTGTTCTTGTTTTCTTTTGTTGGTTTTCCTAGACAAAATTAGTTTTTGATTGGAAAAGTGCAGTGTTGCCGTTACGTGCGTGCTCACGTCGATCCTGGCGGTTGGTTTTTGATTGGAAGAGTACAGTGTTGCCCTAGAGTGCGTCTTCGCATCGAACCTGAACCAGTTGTCTGGCATGTTGTCTTGAAATGTGAATTTGGTTTTGGCAGCCGTTGAAAGATACGGAATCCGGACCTGCCGGAAAAGCTGGTTTAACACGGTTTTTACGATACAAAACGAGGGTCGGTAGTTCATGGGGGGGTTACCATATGTATATATATATATATAACTCTTCAGCGAGGTGAAACTTTGGCAGGTACAGAGCTATGCGTCCATAGCTCCTTCCACCTATTCCGCTAGCATCGTTGGCTAGCATCACGGAAGAGGCTGCCAGCCCCCTGCTCTCTTGATCTGCTTTCATGATTTATTGACGACGATTTCCAACTCAAGATCTTAGGAACAGGAGTTACGCACACACACACACACACACACCCACACACATATATATATATATATATATATATGTATATATATATATACACACACACATCACGCTGAACTTCGATCGCCAAGCTCCACCAACACGTACGATCTTAATTAGTGTGCGGTTGCAGAACGTCGATGTAGATTGTCACCCCTGGATTTGCGAAAAGAAGGGTGTGCAGTTCGGAAGACGATTGATTCCGCGTTGCAAGCTGGACAAGTAAGAGGCTGCGTCGTCAAAGTATTCTTCTTTCACAAGATGCCCCCAAGAGTCCCGCTGTCTTCAGCAGCATATTGTGAAAGTGTCCGTATTTACCAATATCATGGTTCCACACTTCCGAAGCGAGTGTAGGACCAGTGCAGGACAATATGCCGCGGTGATGCTTCAAAACTTAAGATGCTACTGGCAATTTATCATCATCGGCAACCACAAAGGGGCTGAATTACATTCTTGTTCCAAGCTTGTGAGATGTAGCACATCTGAGAGCGAGGCTTCTGCGGGTGTGCAGTTGAATCCTCGTTAACGGATGTTAACGACTAACTGTCCCTCGGTACATGCCGGAACCCTCAGCTGTCTAAAGTCATCCGGCAAAGCAGTGCCGGCAGCAAGGTGACGAGGTCTCGCACCGGCCACAAGCATGCTGTGCTGTGGACCTCGTGAAACAAGCCCGATGGCTCGCTATGCCCAGCTCCTCCGAAACACCCAGATAGCTACGGAGGAAGCCCCGACCGTGTGGTTCCCAATGTACGTTCTCCCACTGGCCAGCCTGCTGCAACTGAGAGAGATGCGGCCGCATGAAGAGTTGATGGCCGCTGGAAAGCTCGAGGAGTTCGACGACAGTCTAGGAAACGCAGTCTTTGTGTCGCACCAGTGGCTCGGCGCTGATCATCCAGATCCGGAAATGAAGCAAATGTCTGTCTTACAGGGTGTCTTGACGCATCTGATGTCCGATCTGCAGACGATTCCCGTGGATTTCATTTCAGAGGCCCTCGTGCCAGGTGCAAAGGGCTTGCCCACAGCAGCGCTCCGATCGCGACCTCTTTTTGTATGGTATGACTATTTCTCGTGCCCGCAGGCGGAGGACACGAGTATCTCGGTTGAATGCATGAGGAGATCGCGTAGCAAGCTTTGCCGAGCTGTGGACAGCATTCCGGCTTACGTCGCCAAGTCTTCCTTCTTTTTTGCCTTGTGCCCTATCGTTGAGAACACAAACCGATCGAAGCTGCTGACTCCGACAACTTGGACAGAGCGCGGCTGGTGTTGTGCCGAAAGGACTTTCCGGGAGCTTTCCCTGACGAAGAGCTGGATCATTGTCCGAAGCCACACGGACGCGCAGCTGGTCCTGAACCCAGTGGAGTCGCTTGGGAAGCCACCAGGAGAAGGAAGCCAGGGTCGCTTTAATTTCACGAAGTTTAGGCTTTAAAGGTTTAAGCATCATGTGTTCAAATAGTGTTTATGCATTCGGAGGTTTAAACCACGGTTAACACATGTGAAGAAGGCCGTTCAAACATGTGTCAAGCACAAGTGTGCCAGGCCAGGATATAGTGTTGAACTATGTGTATAAGCCGTTGCTTGGGTGCCAAACATCCCGAATATGTTTAAGCCCAAGGTGTAAATGCATGTTGAAGCCGGCCCTTCAGCGCCACACATTCCGAATGTGCTTAAGCCCGGGTTTGAACAGGTTGTTTAGACCGTATGTTTAAACTGGTCCTTGAGTGCCACACTCCGAATATGGCTAATAGGCCGTTTTAGACATGTATATGTTGAAACCCAAGTTTAGACGCATGTTTAAATTGCTCCTGAGTGCCACACGTCCCGCATCTGTTTAGGCAATTGTTTAAACATGTCTGTCAACCTTTCCTGCACACATGCAGCCCGATGTCTAAACCGGAGTTTAAACATGTGCGTAAACTTTCCCCGTGCAGGTGTAACCAGATTTCTTTCAACCGGTGTTTAAACATGCGTTTGACTAGTTCCTGCGTAGAAGCAAACCAAAAGTTGTTCGAACTGGTATTTAAACACGTCTTGAAGTATTTCCGGTGCAGGTGTAATAATCATTTAACTAAACCTGTGTAGAGGCATCCTCTCAACAGGTATCAGCAGATGTTTAAACCGGAGTTTAAACATGTGCTTAAACATGTCCTGCGCAGGTGTAACCAGATTTGTCTAGGCCGGTGTAAAAACCGGTGTTTAACCACTACCGGCACAGGTGCAACCAGGCAACCAGAGGTGTTTAAGCCGATGTTTCAACCTGTTTATCACCTTTTCCCTAAACCCTAAAGCCTAAACCCTAGACCTATAAAGGTTCCCAGGCTTCCAGTGTAGCCAATCAGCTTTTAAACTTTTCCAAGCCATCCATGGAGGGTCTGGGGACTTGGTAAGTAATTATTTTGCAGAGTTCTAAGTATCCTAACCCCAATTAGGATCCCTGTTAGGGTACTTATAAGTATACTTATTACCCACTTACTAAGTCCCCCGACTCTCCAAGCATCCATGGAGGGCTTGAAGCTCGCCGCTCATAAGAACCGCAAAGGCATTCACTTTCCACTAGAGTGTATGGTTCAAGTGCTCTGGATCTTGACAGAACAGATGTAAACGTAGGTTCAAGGACATAGCCTCGAATTTGGCTGAATCTGGTTTATGCAAACAAGTTTAAACGGTTGAAGTATGACTGGCCAGAGGGTTGCCTGAGTGCCCTTGATCTTGAACGCGCGCTTTTAGACACGTAGGTTTGAACCTGTAGCCTCATGTGGGGCTTTATGGATCTTAACAAACTTTATCGCTGTTGCATATGAGTGGTCAGAGGGTTGACCGGTTTAAACACGTAGCGTTCGACACCCCACCCCAACCTTGAAGGAAGCTTCACGGTGGCGGGTGATCGCTGCCAGCTGCAGCCCCTGCTGGAGGCAGGGCTGAAACGCGTCCTCCAGAACTACTTGAAGGTGCAGGACTTTGTCGGCTACCGCGTGATGCTAAACCTGCAGGCCGTGTATTTGAGAGGCTACGCTTCGGGCCTCTTGGAGCCCATCCCTGGCTTTTCCGGCACGGAGTCGGACACTCCAACTTCGCTGGCTCTTGCCAGGTTCATGTACCAGAACGGCTTCGAGTCAACCCAGGAGGTGGACCGGGCCGGATGGGCGCCCCTCCACTATGCCGCCCTGCTCGGGGATCCAGCGGTGGTGAAGGGTCTGCTGGTTCAGAGGGCAGACCCCAACAGGACGACACAAAAGGGCCAATGGCGGGTGGGTATGCCGCCCTGGACGTCGGCGCTGGCCTTGTGCGTCTACTTCAAGCACAACGGTGCTGCGCGCGCCCTCATCTCCGCGAGGGCCCGCGTGCAGTCTGGCCTTCTCATGCCACCGCTCATGACCGCAGCCTTGGCAAATAACCCAGAAGGCATCCGCATCCTATGCGACGCCGGCTGCAGGCTTCGTACACGGAATCTTGTTGGGGCTGTTGCGCTCTACGCTGCTGCAAGCCAGGGCTCCATGCTTGCAATGGAGGAGCTCCTCGCCCAGGCAGCGCGTGATTCCGAAGACCTCCAGCTGGGTGCCGTGCTTTGTTTCGCAGCCATGTTTCATGGCTGTAGTGCTGAGCTGGTCCACCGGCTGGTGGAGCTGCGGGCAGACGTCAATGAGCGCTTCAATGCCTGGGAGGTCTCAAAGCGCTTCGGAGTCTTCAACTTCGTGCAACAGCTTCCCCACCGCTTTGGCAGAAACACAAAGCTGGCGAGGTTCAGTTATCACTCAAAGGGAGCGACGCCGCTGCTCTTCGCCCTGCTATCATCGCAGTGGGAAGGTGCTTCGACCTTCATTTCTGCAGGAGCACGCCTGGATCTGTGCAACTCGCGCGGTGTTTCACCAGCAGACGTGCTTCGAGAGGTGCAGGCACCCGACTTCGTGATGCAGGCAATGCATGGAAATTTGGCCGGCTGTGAAAGAGTGTCGGCCCTTGCATGCAACGGAAGCCGCACTGAGATGTAGTGGGATGTAGTCTTCACACATCACAGTGCGCAGTGTGAGTCCCATGGCGCTGCGCCATCGTGCCCTCCGCCGTTTATACAGGATTTAAGGTTTCAAAGACTGTAGAGACGACAATTTTGCTTTGGAGTCGCGAATTTTTATACGTGCTCCCTGTCAAGCGTCACCCTCGTTTCCGGGCGAGAAGAAAGGCAGCTTTGGACGGGTTTAGGGTTTAGGGTTTAGGGGTTTAGGGGTTTAGGGGTTTGGGTTTAGGGTTTACCCTTCAGCTTGGAAGATGTGCCGATTCACGGGTTCATATGGGAGCTTTACGCCATGTGACCCTGTGTCCATCTGCTTGAAACTCTTGTGCTGCCACTTCCCCGCAGCCTTGTTGTGGTCCGGTAGATCCCGAGGTCACCTTGGGGCTTCTGAATCCTTGTCCATAGTCGTTCATATGCCTTGCCAATGCCTCGACCTCGCCTTGCCCTGTCGTGCCTAACGCTCTTCTGGCCGTTGGGCGAAGCTGTCCGGTCCGAAAGGGATGGAGATGCAGCCGTTTCGGAAGAAGCACTTACTCACGGAACAGGCGGCGGTTCTTGCGACGTGCTGTGTCGTCGAGCTCTTCCTGAGCAAAGCGTGCGCATCAACCAAGCGAGATTCTTCCTCCTGGCTGAAGATGCTTGGACATATCTGGCCTTGAACCTCACCCAAACAGTTTCGAAATCACCTTTTGATGACAATTTCTCTTCCCACCCGTGATCTGCTGATCCAAGATGGGGGAGGATCTGGGAATCGCAGCGATTTCTAGGGGTTGTTTGTTGGAGCGCCGAGCAGAATGCTCCTATTTGGGCCTTGAGTGCGTAGCAGGGATGACGATGCGAAGACCCTAAGCCCTAAGCCCTAAACCCTAAACCCTAAACCCTAAACCCACCCTTGAAGAAATCAGGCTTTCTGGAAACCGGAGCTAAGATGAAGGACGCAGATTTTGGGCCTCTGCCTTGTTCTACTGTGTGGATGTAGCCGTGCAAGGCAGTACTTGGAGGTTCATAGGCAGTTATGAGTGGGGTTATAAGTCCCCTAATATGGGTTGTAAGTATAGATACCCTACTTATAATCTCACTTATAACTACCTATGAACCTCCAAGTAGATGAAGGCGACATTCGGAGATTGCTTTGTTCAGAATTCATTACGCTCCAGTGGGCTGCCTTGCCTTCCACTCAGGATGCTCGAAGAGTGGCGTGGAGACTTCAGGACCCAATGCTGCCAGGGTTATTATAACAGCTCCATTTTTTAAAGGGGTTTAGGGTTTGGGGTTTAGGGTTCAGACGATGTTATGCAAGAAGTGCAACATCACTCACAGGATCTGTAGCTTGGATAGGATCAAAGCAAGCAGACCCCTTGAATTTGACAGAACTGCATGCCCGACTCAATGTGCTAAGCTCCTCCCCTCAAAGCCCATCCTTGATGGTTGTTTCAAGCTTGTGTGGATTGGTTCAGAGACTCGTCGCTGATGCTGCACGCAACAGTGGTGGGCTTCCAGAGCTTTTGCAATGAGTCCTGGGCTGGTGAGAAGTATAGAACACGGAGTTTCCCTTGTGTAGGGTTTAGGGTTTAGGGGTTGAGGGGTTTAGAGGTTTAGGGTTTAGGGTTACTACAAGGCATTCCTTGTGCCTCGAAGGAGGGATCAAAAGTCAGCATCCACTCGAGCGCAAGCTGCTTGGATGATGACTTCATCGTGGACGCAGAGGCCAGAATCTCCACGTAGCACAGGAGGGTTTAGGGTTTAGGGTTTACGGTTTTGGGGTTTAGGGTTTAGGGTTTACGGTTTTAGGGTTTAGGGTTGAGGGTTTAGGGTTTAGGGTTTCGGGTAAGGAGGGGCCATAATAATTGG